ACTTTTCAAGCAAATCAATATAAATGTATCATTTATATATTTTATCTATTTTTTATTAAAAATCTTAATATATTATTAACATAAAAATAATTATATTGATAAAAATATTTTTTTATTTTTTTTATAAATAATTTATTTTTCTTAATATTGAATGTACGTATTGATATTTTTTTCTAAAAATGATCAAATTTCAAAAAAAATTATGTATTAAAATATACAAATAATTCTTTATATAAATCGTATTTTATATATATATTAGGTATTACATGCATAAAAAATTTTAAAAATATTCACTAACAAATTTTATATTCGTTTAAATAATTCAAAAAGAAATTTAACAGAATTAGATGTTTCCTACACTGCTTACCATTAGACTTACAGATTACTTTACTTCATGGCGAATCAAGATTCATAACAATATCGAATTCTTCTCGACAAATTTTTAAAAGTACTTGAAAAGCATTTTGTGTATGTTGGATTAATTAATAAACAACGATAATTAATGATGAATACATTTTGGAAATAACGTTTTGTTAAATCAGTTAAATAGTTAAATAATACCGCTCAAGATGAAATGTCGGAAATGTGCATAACTTTTAAAGCTAGTAATATATACAACGATCAATAACACTTAATTAATTTTTCATTAATAAATGACTGACAGAATGGCTAGTAGAGAAACATCAATTAATTCAAAAAACTCGGATGATCATAGTGTAGAGGTTCGTAAATTTGCAATAATAATGTTCTAAATTTTTGTAATTGTTTTTAACAATGTGTACTTTAAGTTATATACTTTTTTTATTAAATGGAACTAAAAGTAATGAAATATAGTATTTTAATTCAATATATCAAGTTTAATATTTTAAAAAAAATTATTTACTAATTATTAAAACTTAAGATATAGCATAACTATTACAAATTTGAATTACAAATTTGAAAATATATTGATTGATTATTAGATTACATATAATATTATAACAATTAATTGTATAATAATATATATATAATTATTATATTATATATATATAAATTTAAATTTTTATTTTAGACATTAGCAGAAGTCTTCAGGTGTTTTATTTGTATGGAAAAATTGACAGATGCACATCTTTGTCCTCATTGCAGTAAATTATGTTGCTACACATGTATCAGAAGATGGTTAACAGAACAACGTTCTCAATGTCCTCATTGTAGAGCTTCCTTACTTTTACATGAATTAGTAAATTGTAGATGGGTTGAAGAAGTAACACAACAACTTGATACACTTCAAGCTGTTGGTATTTCAAATTCTAGGCACGATGATTCCAGTAGAGATAGGTATATTTTATTTATAATATAAAAATATTTAAACTTATGTTTGTTTTAATTATTACTAATATTAATGTCTGTTTTAAATAGGTGTACTGTGCACCGTGAGAAACTGTCTGTTTATTGCTGGACTTGTCGTAGATGTATATGTCATCAGTGTGCTCTTTGGGGTGGCACTCATTCAGGACATACTTTTAAGCCATTAGAAGAAGTTTATGAACAACATGTTACACAAATAAAAGCAGAAGTAGGTCAATTAAAAAGAAGATTGATGGAGTTAATAAGCCTTGTTCAAGAAGTAGTATGTGTGAATTTTAAATAGAATATTAAATATTTTAAAGAAGATCAAAATATTATTTTATATCTGATTTTTTTATTAGGAACGAAATGTAGAATCTGTAAGAGCTGCAAAAGATGAAAGAGTTAGAGAAATCAGAAATGCAGTAGAATTAATGATAGCACGTTTAGATTCTCAGTTAAAAGCTAAATTATTAACATTAATGAGTCAGAAAAATTCTTTGACACTAGAAACAGAACAACTGGAAGCATTATTACAAGAAGTAGAGCATCAATTACACACTTGTACTCGTTCTGAACTTATAATTAAAAGTGCAGATCTTTCGCGAATGATACATCAAGTACGAAAAAAACCAATGACTAGTTTTGTTACTGCTCCTGTTCCAGCAGATTTTCATAGGTATTTGATTTTTAATATATTTTTAATTACAAAAAAAATATTTCATAATTTTATATCTCTTATAATAATTATAATTATTTTAGTGAAATTGTTCCGGGATATGATAGTGCTACATTTGCAATGCAAAATTTTACACAATTACAATTAAAAGCAGATCCAGTATATTCTGCACCTTTACATGTTAATGGATTATGCTGGAGATTAAAAGTATATCCTGATGGAAACGGTGTTGTACGCGGAAATTATTTATCTGTTTTTCTAGAACTAAGTGCTGGTTTGCCAGAAACATCAAAGTACGTAAGAATGATTTCATTTTTAATCATATTTTATTCAAAAATAATTTTTTTCAGATATGAATATAGAGTAGAAATGATTCACCAAGGATCTCGTGATACAAGTAAGAATATTGTTCGAGAATTTGCTTCTGATTTCGAAATTGGCGAATGCTGGGGATACAATAGATTTTTCAGATTAGATTTGCTTGCAACTGAAGGATATTTAAATACCGAATTGGATACTCTTATATTGCGGTATGTTTTATTTTCACTGATGTATAATAATAATAATATTCAAGTATAATATAAAAATAAATAATAGGTTTCAAGTACGTCCACCAACGTTTTATCAGCGTTGTAGAGATCAACAATGGTATATCAGTCAATTACTTACAGTTCAAAATCAATATGCTACTCAAATCAATGAATTAAAAGAGGTAATATGCAAATTTAAAATATCTAATTATATATTATATTCATATATAAATCATTTTTTTTATAGAGATTAGCAATTGAAATATCACGGAATGCTATGGCAGCAACTCGAGTACCTAGTGGAGCAACTTTATGTGGATCAACATCAAATGTGACACCTATGATTATGCAACAACAATCACAAACTGCTGGTGATTCATTACTTAATTCCAATTCTACTCGTTCGGGTGAAACATATCAAAATAGCACATCCACAAGGTAAAATAATTTTTTTTTTGAAATGATATTTTTAAAAAAAAAATAATATTTTAAAATTTAAACCTTATGTAATTTTTAGTAGATCAGTACAAAATGTACTTCCTGGTGGAAGTAACAGTGATGTTTTATCTGGAGATCAATTAATGCCTATGTGTGAATTAGGAGAACCTTCAAATATGCGTCCTCTTGGTTCTTCTTCGACATTATCTTCTATTTCATCGAAAACAAGTTTAAAACAACACAGAGTAAATAACTTAAGCGTCGTTGAAGCTGAACCACCTAATATGCATAGTACAAATGATAGTTCTGTGGGAGATTGTCCAGCTACAAGTACTCATTCTCCACCTCCTTCATATTCTTCACCAACAGTTAATCAACAACAACTGAATCTTTTGTCTAGTAGCAGCAGTAGCGATAGTGGAGTAAGATATTTAAATTAATAAATTAAAATCAATATAATTAAATATATTCATGGATTTTAATTTTGATTGATTTATTTATTACTGATAATTTATGTTCCACTTTATTTATTAGTATAATTTATTTCAGGAATTAAGTGAACACGATATATATTTGGATGAATGCGAACATAATGAACCACATCTAACACTTTTGGATGACAATTCTAATGATGAAAATGATGTAGATGATGAAACAATGTCAGGTATGACATAAATCTTTTATTATTATTTTATTAAATATAATAATTTATAATATTAAATTATTCAAACAAGCTATATAAATTCCTTTTTATATTATTTTATCATATATATATATATATACACATACATACATAATATAATGCAATAATATACTGAATTAGGTACAAGTTCAAACAGAGGTTCTATAGATAATGTGCAGAGACAACGGGAAAACAAGTTAGATAAAGGTGTTGAAAATGAAAAGCCCACGAATGAGAAACCAGATGAAGATTTTATGAAAGAAAATCCCACTTCCCATACTCCTAATCATTTTCAAACAGTTTTATAAGAAATTATGTCTTTTTTCAAATTAATCTCCGTCCTTTTATGTTTCATTTTATAACGAAAAATAAATATTCCTATATATGTACTATAATATTCAAGTTGATAGAAACTTGATCTTAATTTACTTATATTGTTTGTGTTATCTTATTTATAATATTTTTTAGTTACATCATAATTAATATATTTATTAATTAATGAAAATATATTTGTGATATTGTTGTATTTGCAGGAGAAAACGACGTAGAAGTTGCCGAATCATTATCAGCGTGGATTCAGAATAAACAACGTACAAAACAACAGAATAATCGAGAAAGTACAGGAGATATTTGGAGGTATATTATTGAAAATAAAATTTTACTATGATTATACTTTATAAAATTAATTTAATTTTATTATAAATAGATTAGGAGGTTCTGATAGTTTGGAAGATGAGATTATGTTGCAGTTATTTGAGATGCAAGATCGAAATTCTGCTTGGACTTCATTATGTTTTAATCAACATGTAGATGATACTTGTGATTCAAGAACATCTTTAACAACTATACAACATCATAATTCTAATCCTTTACAACCAGAACATGATTCAACATGTAATGAACAATTTGCTGACAAACGTTCCACATGTCCTTCACATCTTTGTCAACCTCAAATAATATGTAGTGGCAGATCAAAATTAAATCAATTACCCAATATTTGTCAGCAAGAAATTTCTGGATTAATAGCTTGTGGAAGTCAAACAAGATCTGAACCTGCAACTCGTTCAAATTCAATAGACTGTGAAAAAGAACTTCCAAAGATATCTATGGTTAATAAAGTTAATCATGAAGTAGAAATATCTAGATCTGATTTGATAGTGCCAAATGGTAAATAAAATTAAAAATTTATATAAATTATATATATATGTATTCATATTTATCATATGAAGTATACTTTTTCAGTAGTACTGGATAGTAATAAAATAGTATCAAAACATTTATTATCACGACGACAATCTTCGCCATCATCGTCTACTAATGTTAGTATTATAAATAATGAAAATAGCAAAATATTTGAATTTGAACAATTGCTGGAAACTATTCAATTATCTCCGATATCTCAAAAAGATACTGCCAGTTGTTTCAATAAATTAAGGTATCGATTTTTTCTAATTATTTAAAAAAAAATGTATGCATTTTTAATATTTAAAAATTATTTATAGGAAAAATATTCCATTAGAAGGAAAATCTAATGGTTGCATCACTGCCACTATAAAATCTACTGCACTTTCTTTAGGACATGATGTTCCATTATCGTCCACAAGCAGCACAGATGCTATTCCGAGTTCCAATAATTACAGTTGGGCGCCTGCATTATATCAACATAAACACGGTAAAATTATTTTTATAAATGTAATATAAAATAGCTAAATATAATAAAAACTATAAATCATTAAAATAATTTTTTATTTTAGGTCAGAAAAATATTTTAGAGGCTACTGCATCATCTAATGATACTTCCAATAAATGTACTGCAGAAAAGTAAATACAATTTTCTATTTTATTAATGAAATATCTATATAATTTTATAATTTTATATATAAATATAATAATATTTAAAAATATAAAATTATATTATTACAGATCGTTAGAAGAAACTAATTCGTGAAATTAAATTTGAGCTGTATCTGTGACATTTAATGCTATGAATATTCTGTGATTTTTTTTTATTTACATATATACAATGTGTTAATTAATATTATTAAAGCGATAAGTAGTAAGAATTAGAGACTTGATTTGAATATTTTAACAATAGTGGTAAGTATAATATTTTATTAAAGATATTTTTTGTACTAAATATTGTAAAAAAATATTGCATGTTTATTTTATGATTATGTCAATACTGCTTAAATCTTAATTGGATATTAGTATTACAATATTGATTTTTTTTCAGTTTAAAAAGTATATAAAAAAAAATATTATGTATATAAAATATATTCAATTCTAAGTAAACTTATATTCAATTATTAATATATTGTATAATATCAAAATACTCAATATGTTTATCTCTGCAATTGGTTATGGTATTATAAATATTATAAGAACAAATTTTATATTATTTTTATGTGATTGCTTGTGAATATACATAAAGCGAGCACAGCCCATGACAGTAAAATAAAATAAAGAACATTAAATATATATTCTTTATCTATTATATACTGTTAAATCTTATTATAAGTACATAAATTAACTTTTAATAACAATGTGTCATTTTAGTGGAATCAAAATATAAATTAATTACTGTTTGCAGTTCAGGCTTTGGTGTTTATTACATTTGCATGATATTTATATAATAAAAATGTCATTAAAATATAAATCATTTTTCACTCTTATTATACATATATTCATACACACCTATTATCACATATAAATTTAAAAATCAGAAGATATTATTTATCTGAGCTGCCAACAGTATTTTAAATAATAGAAAATTATATGTAGTACACAATTTGTACAAATTTTATGTTTCATTTCATATATCATTTGTTGCTTTCTATAATTTTTTTTAAACAAAAATTTATTAAAAATTATTTTAAAAAATTCAATGATGAACTATATCACAAATAAAAAAAATTTTTTTTAAATTTTCTTTTATGAAAATATTTTTTTAAATATTATTCTTTTTAATATTATGCGCGGGATACATAATAAGGAAAAAGTAACTATTTTATCATACTATTATCTTGTATTCCAATTAAGGAATATAAATTGTTAAGTAGTATTATATGTTATTCCATTTTGCATATATTCAACAATTAATTCGTTGCAAACTTTTTCATCTTCCGGATATTCTCTTGCTTTTTCTTCATTTGGTATGTAATGTGCACCACTGAACTTATAAAAATATCTGCCAATTGCATGATGATTTATCCATTCTGGATTAGGAGCCAGTAATAAATTTTCTAATAATAAATTCATATATTAAAAATATTTTGCTTTTTTTATAAATAAAAACATAAATATATAATAATAAATAAAAATATATAAATAAAAACAAAGTAATAAATAATTTTACCTTGAGCTGCATATTGACATGAACCATCATCTACAAATATTTTATAAAATGGTTGATCTGCACCTTCTTCTAATCCATCTACGTTCATTTCATTCATCCATTCTGTAGATGCCATACAACGGACATCCCATCCTGTTATTACACATAAATATCCATATATTTTATGTTTCATTATCAATCCTATTGCATATTTTACACTTGGAATTCTTTTCTTTGGTTTTATTTCTTCCTGAATAAAGTATAAGGAATAAATATAAATTATAAATTTTTATAAACTTTATTATAAAATTAAAATAAATTTTTATTATTTAAAAATTTGAACAAGCATTACCTTAGGTTGTAATCTTTTTTGACATTTTTGGAGTGTTTTAAAAGTCTGTGAAATCATATTTGCTTGTCCTCTTGACATTAACTCCAAATCCTATAAATTTTAATAAGACTTTGATACAAAAATAAATTTAATCCTTCATAACGTATATTATCAATTTTATAAAATACCTTTTGCATATTTTCTAATATTTTTACCAATTCAGTCAAATCCATATGTTGTGACATATATATTCGTCCTAATTGTAAAACTGTGTTTGTATCATTGGGTTGTATCATATATCGAAGTTCAAGTGCAGAACGTAATCTTGCAGTTCTATGAGTACCATTTATATGAGTATGTTGTCTAGCAGCTATTTCTAAATTATTTGCCATTCTTGTCACTACCTATTAAAAATTATTCCTATTATAAATTGAAAGAATAATATGTAACAATGAATTTTAATTCAAAAAAACTGTCAACCTCTACAGCAGTTGCTTCTTCATGAACATTATATTTTTCTATTGGACATCTTGAAACACCTCCAATTCTAGGACAATTTTTTTTAGTTAGAAATTGACCACCATTGAAGACATCAATATAATAATTTTCAGTGTCCTTAAATTCTGGTGCACTACAATGAAACATAGAAATATTTAAAATAAATTTAATTAAATTAATGAAATTTGATATCAGATAATTATTAATAACAATTAAGATTCTATAAGAATTTTTTTGTTTTTAGCAAAAATTTAAAATAAATATTCATTATCTATGAATCACATTAATAATAATTGAAAACTTACTATGTTTCTTTCCATCGTAATAAAAAATGAGATGGAAAACTAACAGGCTCACAACGTATACCAAGTCTTCGAGCAACACTTTCAAATACTATTGCTAAAGTTATAGGAATTCCGCGTCTACGTTCTAAAACCTAATAAAAAAAATTTTATATACATTTAAAAGTAATTTCATATATAAAATAATTTGTTATTGTTTTATTTTTTATAATGTTTATTCATAACTTACGCGATCTATGAACGAATTTTCTGATGAATAATACATTTCACTATTTCCATAAAATCCTAATTTTTCAAATAATACTTTACATAATGCATCTGTTACTTGTCTTGTTTCTGAAATATTCCACTGATTGTCATCAATAATATTATTTTTCCAAAAGATAAATCTCTCTGTGGAAATTGAAAATATAGAATGATTTGGATGTTGTTCTCTGAGTAACTCTTTTGTTTGTTCTGCAATGTTATCTAATATTGATGATATTGTCGGATATGATACATGTCTTTCTGGTTGACTCCATTGTGCTACAATAGTTGCACCACGTTCTAAAGTTTGTTGTTTTGATGGTAAAGATATAAACTTTTGCCATTCACCTTTCAAATGAGTTTGTTTTAAATATCGAACAACTTTGAGAGCATAATATCTATGTGTTAAATTGCTTACTCTAGAAATATTAATGTTATTAAATAATAATAAATTCTAAGAAAAAATATATTTGTTATTGATGTACTTACATAGCAGGACATTTAATCAATGTTATAAGTTCATCTATTAAAAAATAATAAGCTAAAGAATGAGCACCTTCTTTTGGACAAAATAATGAATCAAATTCTTTAAATTCAGAATTAGATAATTCTTGTTTTTTGTGGTGTTTATTAGACATAGAAGATAAAAGACAAAGTAATTTGGTCCTACTATTCAAACTAATTTTTATTTCTTCTTTCCAGTTTATCATCTGATGCTCTATTTCTTTACTTGTTTGATATACTTCTTTTAAAAGTGGCCATCTATTATTACAAAAAAATTAAATTAAATTAGATCAAATAAAAGTACTTATAAAAATTATTTTAATTTCATTTAAAAGATTTTGTATTTTTTTATAATTAAGAAGAATAATGTTTTTTGTTAAGTTAAGTATATATAATGTATGTTTGATTTTTTATTGTAATAATTTCTCAATATTCAAATTGATAAATACCTTTGAAAAAATTTAGTCTTCCAAAGTTTATTATTTTCGTTGACAATTTTGTACAAACTTTTACACGTTGAACTAAAATTAATGACATCCGAAAAGTCAAGTAATTTATCTTCCAAAATATACACGATTATCTCTCCAGGTAACGAGATTATTGCGTCACTTGCCATGTCTTGTTACTCTGCCTTATAATATATGGCTAACTTTATTTCTCTCGTTCAAAAATTCGTAAGATATTTTTACATTTTCTAATAGCATAATAATAATTTTAACTTTAAAAATCCATGCAATCGAAAGTTATATATATGTAAAATTATATTTTATGAGTTACTTCGACCGCCATTATGATTTTACTCACAGTTCATCCAATGAGAAGAGTTTCTTAAATCCTTCATAATGACGTCATATATATCTTGCTTATGTTACCATTTTTACCGACATCTGAATAATTTTATTTAATTGCACAGATTTTCTAAATTTTAAGCTAGATTTATATTACAATGAGTTTATTTAAGAAATTTTTTGTTTTATTTATTCTATAGCATAGATAATTATTATAATAATTTGCAGCTATTAATATTTCTAGATATCGGTAAAAATGGTAGTATAAATAAGATATATATCAGAAAACTATAGATGAAAACCATAAATTCTTTTCATTGAATTATTAAAGAAACTGTCAATCTGAAATCACTATGACGATTGAAATAATCCGTAAAATATCGTAATATTTTCACATTTAATCCATTTGATATATTTTTTAATTTCAGATTCTTAAAATTAAAATTTTTATTTTTGAACTTTACTTGACAAATGTCAGAAATATGATATAAATATATATCACAAATTTTTGATTCAAAAAAATAAATTAATTCAACATGTAATTAAATTGATTCTTTATATATAAAATATTATATAAAATTGAGCGAAACACATTCTATATGTATATTTGTCATTTCACTGCTTCGAAATTAAGAACTTTTGTCAGGACACTCAAATTAACACTTTTAGAAAAATACGCGGCTGACCAGGAAAATCGCACTGAAATGTTGTTTCTAGATAGATAAAACACTACTACAAAAATAATAGCAATACTCAGCTTGACAACCAGTCAGTATTGTATGAATCATAAGTATTAGCCAATAGGAATAAAATTCTCTTCTAAACTAAACATGAACTTCCAATAGTAGCATTTTATTGAAGCACAATCTACAAACTAATGAAAAGTATATGTATATATTACATATATCATAAATACTTATTTGTCTGAGATTAATACAAAATACAATTTCAAATATCATATTAAATTATATAATGTCTTTGTTTCTAATGATATATTCAATTAATTTTTTTTTCTATATACGAAAATTGTAATATAATCTTAATTTTTATATTTTTAATTTGCATAAAAAATACTGTATTATTTTTTATATTTTATCATATAAAAATTTTAATGGGTTATTCAATATTTGAATTAATTTCAATATACATGGTAGAACATACTCTGACGAAGAGTCATACAATCGACTTCATCAATTTTTAATGTATTTGTTTTAACATTAATATCTTCTTCGATCTGAATTTGTGTTTTCAGTAAATAACGCAATGATGCCTGAGCCTAAAAGAATAAATATTATTACCATATATTATATATGAAATTAAATATGATCACAATAAATTACAAAAAATGTAAAATATAGACCTCAAACATAGTTGTTTGCAATTTAGACGTAACATTCCGTAAATCATATACTTCCTTTACAAGATTATTTTCGACTAGATCTCGTGTAAGTTCTAATCCTGGTCTTTGACAACGATTACCGAGTCTCGTATGAGCCAAAGCTAAGAAACATTCTTTTTCTGCAATTGATTTTTCTATCCGCGTAATATTCTCCTTCATTTCTTCTGCTTGTCGCATTATCTGCATATATATATATATATATATATATATAT